GCGCTCACCCAGTTCTTCGAGCCATCCCCTCGTGCTCCACCATGCTGGCGCTGAGAAATAGCACCTCTTGTTCGGTCCTCTCCCACTCCTCTGATATTCCACCCTGAACCCGCGCATCACGTTGAAGTCGTTGTTCTCAAATGCCCCCCATATTTGTGTTGCCAACTCCTATTGGTCTCGCCCGTTTCCAAATCTGCCCTGCGTCTGCGCGGCGCATTTTGCATCTGCGCCGGCTCCGTCATGATCTCCTCCAATCTCTCCTGCGCGTCAGACTCTACCGCGCCCACTCTTAAACCTTTCTGTCAGCGGGGGACGTCGCTGTAAGTGGAAGGCAGCAACCCCCTTGTCCTCCAGCTTCTTCTTGATTGGGAATACATGTTCCATGGCGTTCCTGCCCGCTCCGCCCCATTGCTTCCGCACCTGGTCCGCCGCGGGGCGCCCCCGACGCCCCGCGCTTCCTCTGCCGTGAGCTCCCCCTGGGCTACGCCCCGAGAAAACCTCGTTAATGCTTCTTCTGGGGGCTCGGCAGGCCCCTCCTGGGTCGCACTCCGAGATAGCCTCGCTACGGCATCACCCAGGTGCGCTGATGGATCAGCCCGGGTCGCAGGCGGCGGTCGAACGCGCTCAAGAATTCCGCTATCAGGCGCCCTTTCCTCAGGCACTCCATCAGCATGTTGCGGCCCACTTCCTCGGCTGCTCTTGGCTGTCGGTGCTTGCCCGATCTGAAATTGATGTCCCAGTCCAATAGCCACGCCCACACTGATGTGGTCTCTGCGCCCTCTCCCTTCTATCTTCTGCATTGTTTTGCACTCCCCTCAATGCAGCGCACCTCCGCGCACGGGGCAAGGCCCCCGACGGTATCGCTATGTGGTCGACCTTGCTCGCCCTCATCTTCTCGTTTTTCACGCAGTAGCAAGGTGGCCCACAATCGATGAAAGTCGTGACTATTGACACTAAGCTGTGGACACAACACTCCCTGAAAAGCTTTCCCTTCATCGTTCTCCATCTCCCTGGGAACCGGCCCCAATACTACTGCATGTTTGCCCGAACTGCGTCTACTTACCGCCAGTTCCCTGCTGTCTGACCTGCGCATCCCCAATTGGCTGTTGATGCCCCTCCAACTATGACAGCAGACCTGCCACCCGTGTCGTCACAGTTCTCTTCTCTTCTTCCTCCGTCCGTAGCCATGTTGGTTCGAGCCATTTCCCGCGGCCCGCCCTTCGGTCTCCCGTGCTGGGCGCGCATGGCCGCGGGGGCGCCGCTGGAGGGCGCGGGCTCGGGAGCGATGGCGGCGGGGAGACGGCCGCGGCGGCCGTCTGAGGCGTGGCGGAGGCCTCAGCGCGAGCGGCGGGCCGCACAGCGCTGGGCAGCCCTCTCCCGCGAGCGCCTGGTGGAGCGCCTGGCGTCCGAGCTCGTGGAGCTACGGAGCCCGGCATCGGCCCCCCCCCGGCGCCCTGCGCCGCCTGGCGCTTGTGGCGCCCGCGCTGATCGCCCAGGAGCACGGCGGGCCGCTGGAGGAGGAGCGCATCCTCGAGCGCAATGTGGGGTGCCACGCGCGGGCCCTCCCGCGACCTGGCGCTCCACGGGCCGCCTGGAGGAGGGCGCAGCGCGGGCCGCGCCTCCCGTGCCCGAGGTCGGCCGTAGCGGCGGGCTCAGCGGAGGTGGAGCCGCGGGCTGCGGGCGCAGGTGCCATTCACGTCGCTGATCTTGAAGCGGAGATTCTGGCGGAGGCTGACGCCCAGGCGACTGGCGGTGCGTTCCCTCCCCCGCCAGGCGTTTGGCTGGTCGCTGACCCACTGGCAGGGGCGAGGGCCTTCCGGGAGGGCTTCGACGCGGGCTGGCGCCTTGCTGGGACGGCCTCTGGCACTCCGCGGGGCGGCGACGGCGTGGTGTTGCAGGAGCAATGCGTGCCCTCCTCGTCCTTCCGTGGCGCATGGGAGGTCTGCAGCGACGGTGCGTGCGGCGGCGGGCAGCCTGCCCCTGCCGCCAGGGCAGAGCCTGGCCCTCCCCGTGAAGGGGTTTGGAAGGCAAGCGCGGCGATGGAGGAGGACGGCAAGGCCGCCCTCCAGGCGCCGCGTCGTGCGTTCGATGGTGTGCAGGGCGGCACTGCAGGCGAGAGCGCGCCGCGGCCGCCGCTGTTTCTGGGGAGCCTGGCGGGCCCAGGCAGCGACGACGGCTTCGATGACGGCTTTGTGGACGGCCCTGTCGACGGCGACGCGGACGGGGACACGGCCTGCCCTGGACCCCCCGCCCGTTCGGAGCCCGACAGCCACGTCCTGGACTATCTGGACCGCTTCGGCGCGGCGGTGCTGAGCGGCGGCACGGCCGTGGAGCTGGAGAGGGGCACCGCTGGTTCCGAGCGGGCCGCCGCTGCGACGAGAGCCGAGCGGTGCCTCCCTTTCCTCGATGAGTTCGGCTTGGCCGCGGTGGCTGCTGCGGCCCGCGGGCCGCTTTCGGGCGTGGAATCGCTCCTGGACCTCGCCGAAGGCCGCACCGAGGATTGGTTTCTGCAGCGTGAGCTTACACTCGGAGGCAGGGCAGAGGTCGAAGCCCGCGCCGAGGGCTTACTGTTGCAGTAGGGAGTTCGTAGTGATTCTTTATCACGGAGATTGCTTTGAGGTGGATGGTCAGTGATCGTTTCTGGTTTGTGCTGTCCTCACACCTTGATGCTGGGAGTCGTGAGTGAAGCCTCCTGTACTTGAATGTGCACGCTGTGCATTTGCAATGCAATCGAGTTCACTCTGGCGCAGGTAGTGTAGTTTCGTTCTGTTCTGCGCTGCTGGAGGAGGGGCCGGCTTGCCCTGCGTTCGGCAGCCGTCCCCTGGTGGCCGCGGAGGAGGCCCAGGGCGGCCCCCGCGGGGAGAGGCGGCCCTGGGCGGCCCCTCTCGGGAGGGCGTGGCTCGGGTGGCGCTGGAGGCCCCTGGAGGCCCCTCGGTCCTTTTTTCTTTCGCCTTTAAGGCCTCGACAATACAATACAATACACTTCTCTTCCATCCACTTCCTAATTATTGTTTGGGATCATCCCATTCTTTGCGTACCCTCTATCTGGCGGCAAGTACGCCACGAAGACTGTGACGTTGTATGCTCCCGCACGCAGCCTAACCCCTGCCGTTATTCCTTGCAGTTGTGCAGGTGGTGTGTACTGCGCGTGGAAGGCCTGGCCTTTTCATCATCTCGCTGGATGCAAGAAGCGTCGTACCACATGACTTGTTTATCCAGTTTCTCTTCTTTGCCCCGATCTGCAGTGCCGCATGATATCTACGATTCGTCTTCTTCATCGGCTCTGGATCAGCCCACTGATTTGTCGCTGTCAGCACCATCACATCTCACTCTCGTAGTGCATAACTGATTTCTTCCAGCCTGTCCGTGGTATTCGCTGCCAACGGATTGTAGAATACCAATCTCATCCATGCACAGATCGAGGGCGCTGCAACCGCCATCCATCTGCCATGCCCCCCTAGCTCCCTCTTTAGCCCGTACGATTGCCGGGCGGTCGTCATGTGAGAGAGTTTCAGCAAATCCTCTCTCAGTCGGATCTTAAAGTGCCGGAACCTCCAACGCCGACTAGGAGGAGGGGGAGGAGGAGGGAATTCAAACCCGCAATCATCATATGCAGCAGGGCTCTTGTTTCACATCTGGCTGGTTCCAAACGGCCGGGGGGGGGGGGCGTTCCTACTGCTTCCCCCACCCTCACTCCTGATCCTCCGGCTTTCTCCCTCCCTGACTCCTCCTCCTCCTCGTCATCCCCAGCCTTGTCACAACCATCGTCATCATCATCATCATCATCATCATCATCATCATCATCATCATCATCATCATCATCATCGTCATCATCATCATCATCAGCAGCAGCAGCAGCATCATCACCATCATCAGCATCATCAGCATCATCATCACCATCATCACCATCATCAGCAACAGCGTCATCATCATCATCATCATCATCATCATCATCATCAGCATCATCATCATCATCATCATCGTCATCATCATCATCAGCAGCAGCAGCTTCATCAGCATCTGCATCAACATCATCCTCAGCATCACCATCGTCATCGTCATCGTCATCGTCATTTTCATCGTCATCGTCGTCGTCATCATCACCACCATCATCATCAGCATCATCATGATCAGCATCATCATCAGCAGCAGCTGCATCAGCATTATCATCAGCATCAGCATCATGAGTCAGCATCATCAGCATCATCATCATCATCAGCAGCATCAACATCAGCATCAGCATCAGCAACATCACTGTTTCACGAAATCTGGCTCTAAACGGCCCGGGGGGGGCGTTCCTCCTGCTTCTCCAACCCTCAGACCTCATCCTCCTGCTTTCTCCCTCCCTCCCTCCTCCTCCTCCTCCTCGTCATCCCCAGCCTTGTCACAACCATCATCATCATCATCATCATCATCATCATCATCAGCATCATCATAATCTAAAACAGCATCATCATCATCCTCATCATCATTATCATCATCATTATCAGCATCATCATCATCATCATCGTCATCATCATCATCATCGTCGTCATCATCATCAACATCATCCTCACCATCATCATCAGCAGCATCATCATCGTCATCATCACCATAATCACCATCCTGATCAACAGCATCATCATCAGCGGCAGCATCATCAGCATCATCGGATTAGCATCAGCATCAGCCAGAGCATCATCATCCTCCACATCATCATCACCACCACCTACAACACCACCATCGGCATCGCCATTTTCATCAGCATCACCATCACCATCATCGTCATGGACACAGACGACACTCCACCATCGCAACCCTCGTTTCCGCCACCACCACCACCACCACGACCTTTATCGCCCTCCCCTTCCTCCGCCTGCTCCGGCACCTCCGCCTGCTCCTCCTCCTCCTTCTCCACCTCCTCATCCTCCTCCACCTCCTCGTCCTCCTCCTCCTCGTCCCCCTCTTCGTCCCACTCTTGGTGACGGGTGTGACATGTCGACCGACTGTGCAAGGCGGTCCTCCGGGGTGATCTGGTTCGCGTGCATCAGGATCCGCTTGAGGTCAGCAGGGTCCTGCAGGGAGCGGATGCCGAAGGCACGGAGAGAAGAGGGAGATGTACACACAGTTGTGCAGACGCATGCACACACACACAAACACACACACACACAAACAAACATACGTTTTGCGTCGGCGGCTGGGCAGAGGGCGACTGCTCCGGCGGATGGGCAACATGGGAACACGCTTTATGCAAATTTAGGCCGCAATGCACGGAGGAGGAGGAAGAGCCCCGACGCGACAGGGGGAGAGGAAGCCAGGCCCACACACACGCACATACACACACAGACAGACAGAAAGGCAGGAAGACAGACAGACAGACAGACAGACAGACAGACAGACAGACAGACAGACAAACAGACAGACAGACGGACAAACAGACAGACAGACAGACAGACAGACACGCTGACTGACTGACTGAATGACTGACAGAACGACAGGCAGCAGGCAGGCAGGCAGAAAGGCAGACAGACAGACAGACAGGCAGACAGACAGACAGACAGGAGAGGGGGAGAGATAGTGACAGCGATGCACAGACATATTTGTAATTATAAAGATAAAGGGCGGGAGCAAGAAAGATAGTGAGACAGAGGGCGAGGAAGAGAGAGAGAGAGAGAGAGAGAGACGAAGGGAGAGAGAAGGAGAGAGAACATAAAAACAACGCCACAAAAAAGAGTGGAAGGGGAAGGGGAAGCGACGGGAGGGGAGGGACAGGAGCAGGAAGAAGACATTGGGACAGGATGAAAACAAAAAAAATAATCATCATACTCATAACACTCATAAGGGAAGGTGGGATTGGGATTGGGACGAGGAAGAGAAAGAGGAGGCGAAAGAGGAAGAGGAGGAGGCAAAGGGAAATAGAGAGACAGAGACAGAGGGGGGGAGATCGAAAGAGAGAAGTGAACGGTGAGAAAACAAGGGCGAGGACGGAGCAGAAGATAAGGCACAAAACAACCAACTAATCATATAAATAATGATGTGAGCATGAGGAGTACTGTGGGCGGTATGGAATGACAAACTGAGGATATGATCGAGAGCAAAAGCACATGCAACGGCACCAGCAATGCCAATAGCAGGAAAAGAAGAAGCAACGGCGAAAGAGGAAGATTGCCAAGAGACCGTGTGAGTAAACACTAAGAACTGTAATACAACGAACCCAAACGCGACCCCAATTAGGGGGGCACGTCCTAAGCGGCATTGCTTGGCATTACGTGGTATTGCACGGCATTGCTCAGCTGACCTGATTTGCATTAGTTGGTGTTGCTTGGCGGTTCTTGGCACCGCGTGGCTTTGCTCGTCATTGTTTGGTATTGCTTGGCATTGCATGGCATTGCTTGGCATTGCTTGGCACTGATTGGCGTTGCTTGGCATTGCGTGGCATTGCTTGACATTGCTTGCACCGCTTGGCATTGCTTGGCATTGCTTGGCCCTGCTTGAATTGCGTTCAAATTGCTTTGCATTATTTGGCATTGCTTGGCATTGATTGACATTGACTGGCATTGCGTGGCATTGATGGGCATTGCTTGGCATTGTGTCGCATTGCGTTGCTTTGTTTGACATATCTTTGCATCTATCGGCACTGCGTGACATTTCGTGGCACGAGGGCGTTTTTCCTCTCCCCTTCTGGGCCGGCGGGGCGCGACCTCGCCTATCTCCGCGTCCGAGGGGCTGCTTTCTAGTACCACCTGGGGAGCGGCCCCGACTGAAGCTTCCACCTCTTGATTTGTCCTCCCCCTTCTTGCGGGCCCCGCTTGGTGCGCGAGGGGACTATCGCGATTTGCCGCGCATGCTGCCGCGGCCGCTGGATATCCCTCTAGACAGCTAGGAGCCTTGCCGAGACCCTGGCTCTATAGCAGGAACACCCGACTTCGCCATGTGCGCGAAGGCATAATTATCACCTCTGGTGCATTCGCCCTTCCGATAACAAAAAGAAGTACATGCTGTCTCACGCGGCTCATCGCAGCCAGGTTCGCTGCATTTGCTATGCTTGGCATACGCATGACAAAACAATTCGCTCATCGGCGCCAAGCCGCCCCGCGGCAAACGCATTCTCCCCACCTCTCATGGCGGAGGTATGGTCCTCCGAAGGGCATCCGTCACCATGGGCTGAAGAGCTTCCTCGCTGAACCCAATCACCAGAAATACCATCGTTTGTGACCATGGTGTTTCTGTCCTTGTGCCAGACGGGGATGATGAAATTTGCCAGTTTCCCCACTGAGGCAAAGGGGGCTCCACCATGCGAATCGAGAGCCATAGGGAAAAGGGGAAAAGGAGGAGGAGGAGGAGGAAGAGGAGGAGGGATAAACTGGCGCGCAAAAGGTAGGCACGAGTGACAGCCATCGGTATCGCACAGATGGCGACAACTACATATGGCTATGGCTCGCCGCCCCGCTTGCCGAATGCTGCAACCCATCTGGGCGGACCGAAGGGAACGGAGCAACCCGCGACAAGTATTGCCCGGGCACGGGTGCGAGTTAAGAGCAAGCCCCGATGGCGAATGAAACGAAACCCGTTGGAAGCGATTCGGCCCGCGGGCGCGCCACAACTGATCACCCCATACTGGGAGGCCCAAACGGCCACGCTAACGAATCCAACACGACCTTCTGCAGAACGGGCGGGGGGGGGGGAGGAGGACGAGGAGCCGAGGGGAGGAGGGGGAAAGAGCTCGCGCGTGCGCAAGCCAACCTGTAATCGGTGTTCGCACTGGGTGCCACACAAGCACTCTAGAAGGTCGGGAGCAGCGAGAACACTGAACAGAACTGCTGATTGCAAAAAAACCCTTGAACGAAGGATTGCAAAAAGACAGGTTTTTTGCTATCCAGGGTTTTTTTTTTTTGCAATCCTGGGTTTTTTTGCAATCCAGGGTTTTTTTGCAATCCTTCGAACAGAACTGCTGGTTGTGGCAGGGCGTGCGCCGCGATGCCTGCCCGAGCCCCGCCGAGCAGGGGCGGGGAGCACAGGGCGCGCGCGACCGTGGGCTGGGCGCCCCCCCCCCCCCCCCCCAAAAAAAAGAAAACGCCATGGTCATGGTTGTGACCGTGGTGTTTTTTCCATTGATGTAGCTTGGCCATCTCCTTCCTACACATCGAAAGTCGTCGGCATTCGAGAAGCCCCAGGCTTCTGTCCTCGAGCCAATGATACGTCCTATTCGGGCCGTCCCGCGCCATCCTGTGTTGCGCGCCCGCGTCGACCCCCACATCTCGATGGCGCTCCGCTTGCGACCGAACCAGAGTTTCAATGCTTCACCTGAAGGAACCGACCTCCTACCGAATACAACGCGGTCCCAGTATTCGAAGAACGTGCTTAGATTGGCATCGGCCATCTAGGCACTGTACACATGAGAAAAGTCAAAGACGCACCCATCGGCTTCAACTAGCCGATACCAATCCAGAACCGTGCACAATAGCTGCCGCACCCTGACAAGGCCATGTCGGGCTTTGGCATTCCCCTGTCATTGCCCCGCCGTTCGAGGTCATCGTTCCCGAGGGAGTCACTGAAGGCTGACGCGAGCTTTGCGTCGCGCGCGTCGAAACCTCCGCTGCTAGACGCTTCTCATACATAGCGCCCTCGCCTCCGACCTCGCGAAGCCATCTGGAGACCGCCCCTGGCCTCCCCGATGCCGAACTCAACGGCGCATAGACGTCTTGCTTCCACTCTCGGAAGTAGGGGGCGGAGGGCAGAGACATAAATGTGAGACGCTTTGCCTCTCTGCAACGACCTCCTCGGCCGCAGGCTGACGGTCGTTCGACGGGCCCGCGCCAGCTCCAACCTTTTCGAACTCGGACGGCGGCGGAGCATCTTGCGCATGACAGGCCTCTGGTGAATGAGCCTAAAGTTATTGCGTGACTGGCTTGTCAGGTTCTGGTCAATTTGGCGCATTCGGTCGCTCTCGCGGCCGCAGCGACGGCCTCCGTCCAGGACGCGGCCGCGGCGGCGGCGGCGCGCGCATCACTTCCACGTCTCGAGGCGCTGCAGCCTTGCATGCGTCAGCTTCGCCCTCCGCGACAGCACCAGATCTCCCCGACAAGACAACATCAGGTCGCACTGACGCGCCAAAAGGCAGCGCCTCCAGAGTTGGTGGGCGCGCATCACCCACGACTCTACAACGCTGCCCATTGAGTGTCCGCCCCCCCGGGCGATCGCGCCGCGCAGCTGGGGGTGGATGCCGGGCCGCGACCGCCAGCTGCATGGCGAGTTCCTGACGGCGCCCATGACCCACCTCGCAGGCGAGATTCTACACCTTCATGTTCACGCGAATATCTCAGCAGCAGCCCCATGGCGGATCTCATCCACGCGCACAACGTTGAGGTCATTGTCGTTGCGAGCCTGGTCACTCAGGGTAGCGCTAACCCTTTCATGCAACTTAGCCCTGTCAATGAGGGGCTGGACCTTGTTTGGGAGCTCTGTGAGAAGAGTTTCTTGTATCGGCATAACATCGCCAGCGGTGGAACATCGTGCATCCGCGCTGTCCAGTCGTTCCTGGAGGAAGGCGAAGGTCTTGATCATGTCCTCATGTCCTGGATGCTGGGCATGATCTCGCTGGTTGCGCGTCGAATTTGAGCTGACGCAGATGCAGCGCGATCGAATTGCTGAGTTGATTCGCTGATGCGAATCTCTAACTACCGCGATAACCCTACAGTCGGGTGTACCATGCCTGCGCACAGCGTTCTCAGTCGCACTGATTCGATCCAGAATGCGTCTGTCCCCCATTTCAGCTGCTCGCCAGTCATCTCGGCGCGCCTGCGTGGTAGAAGCAGCAAGGTAACACATTATGTCCCGTGCATGAGGGTCCACAATCTGACAATCTGAGCGTTCTGCGCTCGGGATGCTCTCGCGAGCTCTGCGGAAGTTGTCCGCAATCTGGCGAGGTTCGACTCGTGATGTCGTTCGAACATTCTACTTTGCTCAGACAACGCCTGCCATTGCATGTCAGGCATTTTCTGGCTAAGTGTCTGGAGCAGATCAGCCCTTGAAATCGGTATTGCTTTCTCTGCGGCGGCTGCTGTGGACCGCCCTCGCAACTCCGCCTGTTGTCTAGACAGTTGGTGTTCGACCCATCGTGGCGGCACTGGTTGCACTTGGTCGATGGTCGACTGAGAAGGGCGCCCCAGTGCTCTCGGGCGCGTTCGCCACCTGAGATTCGCAACCCTGCACAGCGGTAGCTGGGCACGGGGCCAACCTTCCCACCCCTGATCCCACGCGGAATCTCGCCGCGCCCGCGCCGGGCCACCCCGCCGCAATAGCGACGGGCCTCCCCGCCAAAATATCGCCAAGCCCCCCCGCCGCAATAGCGGCGGGACCCCCCGCCGCAATGGCGCCAGGCCCCCCCGCTGCAGTAGCGCAAGGCCCCCCGCCGCGAGCGCCCCATCGCGGGGGCGAGGCGGGATGTGTTGACCCGTGCCCGAGGCACGGTCCATTGGCGCGACTTGCCCATGCCCCACTGGCTGCGATTTCGCAGCCGCTGGTCTCGACGCCCCCGAACCCAAGGTTTCGTCGGAGATGGTGGCTTCAAGGTGTGCTTCTCTAGTTCGCCTGCATCTGCCATCTGATATTCAGCGCTTCGCGCCAATTTCAGCGCTTGCGCCGCTTCGGCTGATAACCGGGACTCGGGGATAGAACGGCCGCAAAGCAATGCAATTCCTGGAACACAGCAAGCATCGGCCCGCCGATGGAGACGGCCGAGTTCATCCAGAGTAAAGTATTACCGTTAGCAATAGACTGAGAAAACGACAGCGGCAATGAGGGCGCGCGCGGCCGCGCACGCCTTTCTGCTTGCGCCGCTCGACAGCATGAAATGCTGCGGCGGGCGAAAAAAATGCAAACCTAATCCTCAGACCCTCCAGAGGACGGGAGCGGGAAAGCAAGAGAAGGAGCGGGGGGGCCCAAGAAGCCGCCGAGGGCCCCCGAAACCCAGCGGGGTGGCCGCTCAAAACGAACGCGCGCCACACACGAGGAGCAAAACACACTAGAACCGCCGCTTTGGGGCACCCAGAGAACGAGCACCAGGAGGACAGCATCACCCTCGAACCGCGCGGAGTGGGCCAGCCAGCAGGCCTCGCCATCGCTCGGACGTCCATTCCCTGTGTTTTTTTCAGTTTCATGCGTGGTTTTTTCGCCAACTGATCAAGGATGCTCCTCGATGGTCCTCGCCGAAGGAAAAATGCACACGTCCGAGCGATGCCAAGAGGCTGCGCCAGCGGCGCGGGGAGCCAGAGCCAGGCGCGCTGCTGGGCAGAGCGAGCGGCGGCGGGAGACGCGATCAGGATCTCGCCAGGCACGTCGAGGCGGGGCTGACCGATCCATCGGGGCGCGATCGGGGCGAGATCGCCAGAAGCGCGAGGATCAACATGATCATCGGGCGAGGTGGAAGCCAGGGGACAGCCCTGGACGCCCTGCGCGGCGGCCTGCCTGAGATTTCAAAGCTGACCGCCGAGGAGGCAAAGAGCGACGGGCTGTGCACCAACGCATCACGCCGCTACAGCTGTGGGGAAGTAATACTGGTTGCCTGGCAGACCACGGGTGAACGGGCGAGGCCGGCACCACGCATTTTTTCTCCCCCATGTCGCCCATGCTGATCGTGGGTCTGGCCGAGTGGACAGTGGCATCATGATGCAACAAGGAACACGGCGTAGCGGTCGAAACAGAGCAAACGATGGAGAGAACCATGCCCGATGCTGATATAGCTCGGCTGATTCACAGGGCGAAGAAGATGACGAGCGACATAGCAGAAGCAGCCAAACACAAGGACCACCGAGTGAAAGCCACGGAAGAAGGCAGGCCAAGAGACCTGAGGTGCGGGTAGAAGCAGCTGCCGAGGGAGCGCTGCCGTCTGGTTCGGAAATCGCCACAGCGGAGCGCGCAGTCTAAATTCCCAGAACATTGCTCGCAGTTGTGCCTCGGGGCAGTCCAGGCAGCCCCACGCCTGGTGGACCCCGCACACCGGCTCGGCGGCCGGTGGAACGGAGGCCGCGGTCAGGGCCCCATGGAGCGCGGACTCGGCGAGTCACTCGCGCCCCGCCAGCCCGCCAGCAGCAGCCGGCAAGGTCCACAGAGCCGCCGCTGGGACCCGCGACGGCGGCCCGGCAGCCTGAGACCTCCGCGACATCGCAGGCATGGCTCTTGGGCATCATGGGGGGGAGCCGTCAGGGAGCATAACACTCGCCGGTTCGCGCCTATGTTGTGGGGGTGTCTCAAGCGGTCTACTCGTGTTGCCCCCCCACACTCCCCTGTTTTGAAAGCCCCATGGCCACCGCGACATAGCAGGCGTGGCATTTTGCTGCCCCAGAGGGGAGCCGCAACGGGGTGTCACACTCGCCCGTTCGCGCCCGCAGTGTGGGGATGTCTCAGGCGGTTTGCTCGTGGTGCCCCCCAGGCGCACATCTTTTGAGCCCCATGATCACCACGACATAGCAGGCGTGGCACTTGGGCACCCCAAGGGGAAGCCGCCAGGGAGAAGGACACTCGCACGCTCGCGCCCAGATGTTGGGGATGTCTCAAGCAGTTGGCCTGCTGTTATCCCCAAAGCTGCTCTGCTTTGAGAGCCCCATAAACACAGCGACGTAGCAGGCATGGCATGAGGGGTGTTGTACTTGCCAGTCAGCGCCCAGATCCGGGGACCTCTCAGGCGAAACGCGTGTTCAGGCACCCCCGACCCCTCTCCCCTCAGAGTCCCAAGATCATGCCGATGTAGCAGGCATGCCCTTTGGGCACTTCTGGGGGGAGCCACCAGGGAACGATGTCAACACAGGCTAGAATTCTCTCACCCAGGCACTCACAGACGGGAACGCCAATTAGAAGTACCTTTGGTCAACTTGGAATTTGCATCCAGTGTCTGAGACCACGGCTGTGGGCGGCAAACCTGGCTACGCTCGGACAATAATCAGAAGTTAGTTGGAGAATAGGCACCGAAAGACTTAAGCAGGGGCATGGGGAGGAGGAGGAGGAGGAGGGGGAGGAGGGGGAGGAGGAGGAGGAGGAGGAGGAGGAGGAGAGGGAGGAGGAGGGAGGAGGAGGAGAGGAGGAGGAGGAGGAGGAGGAGGAGGGGTATGTGCAGCAGAAGGAGGAAGATGATGACTGTGTGGAGTACGAGGGAGTATGCGGGGGGCGCGTGTGACGCCTGATAATGCTCCAGGGCGTACTGCATCAGGCCAGCCGAATAGCAGAGCTGGCCGATGGTCTTCCTTCCCCACAGAGGGCCGAGAGACGAAGGGAGGGGACGGACGGAGAACGAGGAGGAGGGAGGGAGCAAGGGTGGGGGGGAGGATCGGGCAGGGGGGAAGGCTGAGGAGAGAAGGAGCAGGCGAGGAGGGGGTCAAGTGGCAGCAGGGGAAGAGGGGAGGAGGAGGAGGAGGAGGAGGAGGAGGAGGAGGAGAAGAAGGAGAAGAAGGAGGAGGAGGAGGAGAAAGAGGAGGAGGAGGAGGAGGAGGAGGGATGGCTGCAGGTTTAGGATGAGGAGCGGCACGAGCAGCACAAGGACCGCAGCGACGTGGGGTCGGCCGAGTCGCCTTCCGTACAGCAGGCGCGCATCCACACAAGAGCAGGGCGCGGCGAGCGAGTGGATGGGCGATGTGCATGCACAAAGGGGGCCCAGGACACACAAATAAATACACACAAATAAAAACAAATCCCCATATTTCCCCATGTGTTCTGGGTTTCTGTGTGTTGTTTCCCATCCTGCATGTACTCCAGACCTTCGGCGTGCGCAGCTGGTGTGGAAAAGGTGACGAGGACGTGGCCACAAGGCCGACGATGAGTCAGAGCGCCTGGAGAACCGCTTCAGCTCTCGGAGCGAGAGACATCTCCCAGCCACTGCGGGCGCCTCCCCATTCGAGATAAAAATCCGCCGCCGCTTTCACCACATCATTCAGTATTATCATCAATCGTCCTGCTCCACCCATGACTCCACCACTCATCATCATCATCATCATCATCATCATCATCATCATCATCATCATCATCATCATCATCATCATCATCATCATCATCATCATCATCATCATCGTCATCGTCATCAGCATCATCATCATCATCATCATCATCATCATCATCAGCATCATCATCTTCATCATGAGCATCGTCCTCGTCATCATCCTGATCATCATCGTCACCATCAGCATCAGCAGCATCATCATAATCAAGCTCATCCTCCTCATCATCAGCATCGTCATCATCATCAGCAGCAGCATTAGCATCGTCATGGTCAGTATCACCGTCATCATCAGATTTAGCACCACCATCCAGCATAATCATAGTCGATCATCATCGTCATCATCGTAATCATGATCGCAATCAGCACCAGCATCATCATCATCATCATCATCATCATCATCATCATTATCATCAGGATCATCATCATCATCGTCAGTATCACCACCACCACCGTAATCATCTATGCCGCCATTATCAGCAGCGTCAGCATCAACATCAACATCAACACCATCATCAGCAACAACATAATCAGCGTCAGCATGACCATCAGTAGACATCATCGTCGTCGTAATCGCCATCAGCCGCAGCATCATCATCATCAGCATCAGCTTCAACATCAATGCCGTCGTCATTGCCGTCACCGTCGTCATGAATCCCACCAGCCCTCTGGGCGTAGGTGGTCTAGAACAGATCCTCTTCCACCCCTCCCTCTTCCCCCTTGGGGAGGGGTTTACCCCTCCCCCTACCCCCTCCCCTGGACCTGGACGGAGGGTTCCGCGAGCGGTCGGACGGCCCTTGTGGCCCCAAGATGGCTCCAAGAGCGCCTCAGCGAGCCCAAGATAACCTCCAAGATGGCTCAAGATAGCGCCAGATCGCTTAAGATGGCTCCCAAGATGTTCCAAGAGGCCCAAAGACGGCCCCAAGACGGCTCCTTGTGGCCAAAGAGCTCCCCGACGAGGCCCCGACGAGGCCCAAAATCGTCCCAAAACCTGCAGAAAATCCATGTGGTTTGGTTTCTCCCCGTTTCGCTTCCGATGGCCATCCAAGGCCTCAAGATGGCTCCAAGATGGCCCAAGAGGGCCCCACAAGAGGCCCAAGAGAGCCCCAAGACGGCCCCAAGAGCGCCCAAGAGCGCTCCAAGAGCGCCCCAAGAGCGCCCCAAGAGGCGATGTTTGGAGCTCCTGAGGGGGGAGGCTAATTAGGGAACCCCCCTTCGTTGATCGATCTCCTCCAAGATGGCCCCAAGAGCGCCCCTACAGCCCCCAAGAGCGCCCCAAGAGGCGCCCAGACGGCCCCAAGAGGCGCCCAAGAGGCCTCCAAGAGGCTCCCAAGAGACCCCCAAGAAGCCTCAAGAGGATCTCCGAAATGCATTTAAGACGCGTCTGGCTCTTCGGTTCGCCGTCCTCTTCAATGTATCATCCCCCTGTTCCTCCTCCTCCTTCTCCTCCTTCTCCTCCTTCTCCTCCTTCTCCTCCTTCTCCTCCCTCTGCTCCTTCTCCTCCTTCTCGTCCTCCTCGTCCTCTCCCTACTCCACATCCTCCTCCTCATTCTCCTCCTCCTCCTCCTCCTCCTCCTCCTCTTCCACCCCCTCCCCCTCCGACGAGGATTCCTTCTCCATCCTCCCCCTCTTGGGGTACGTGACAGCTTCCCCCGCCCTTTGTTATTCTGCATGCTCCCCGACTTCCCTGATCACCTCAACTCCCCTGGGCATTGTTTCTGGATGGGCTGGTGGGGATACGCGAAGCGTCAACAATTCCTCCTCCGACTTAGCCTGATCCCCCAGTTATCATCAAACTGCCTATTACAATCAATAACAGCATCAGCAGAATCATCACCGCCACAGCCATCATCGTAATCGCTCTCCTTCTGCTCCTGCTCCTTCTCCTCCTCCCCATCCTGCTCATCCTCCCCTTGTATCATCACCCTCGCCATCAATAACAGCAACATGAACAACATCACCATCACCGTCACCATGTGCTACTCGCAACCACGCGGCCCTCTCGCCTCCTACACCTGCGCCAGGTCTGCCACAGTGGGGAGATGAGGGAGAAAAGGAGGTGGAGGAGGAAGAGAGGGGGCGGAAGAGGAGGAGGGGAGACCTCGCGCTCCCCGAGAGACCTCTGGAAATCCCCAGAGGTCCCCGGAGGACCCAGACCGGCCAACCGCGAGGGGGGAAAGCATCCAAAGAAGGAGGATGAGGAGGAGGAGGAGGAGGAGGAGGAGGAGGAGGGAGTCCTGTCGTAGTGTGTGAACATGTTCATCTGCAGGATGGCCTCGGCAACCTTCGGCGCCTGCTGCAGGTTCATGGCCAGAAGCTGCGTCTGAGGGAGGGAGGAGGCAGGAGAACGCAGCAAGGAAAGGAGAGATGGGAGGTGAGGCAGCGGAGGCGTGGAGGCGAGGGGAGGGGAGAGGGTAGGGGGACAAGCTAGGCGCGCTCGCGCCATTGCTGACATCCACCCTTTTCACACACCCCTGGACATTGCGCTGATTGTTTCTCTATCCACCGACGGGTGTCATGGCGAACCTGGAACCCTCAAACAACCCCTTATCGTTGTGTTGCGCAATCAGAAATGGGAAGCCGTGCGCAGCGGAGGAGGAGGAGGCGGAGGAGGAGGTGGCGGATGAGCAGGAGGACGAGCAGGATGAAGAGGAGGATGGCGAAGGAGGAGGAGGAACAGCAGCAACAGGACCAGGAGGAGGAGGAGGAGGAGGAGGAGGAGGAGCGGGAGAGGCAGGACAAGGGGAAGGCGGAGAAGGGGAAAGAAGGAGGCGACAACGACGAGTAATGAATCGGATACAGAAATGTGGGCCGTGCTTGGACGAGAGCGCTGCTCCGAACGACGGGAGCGAAGCGCCGATCCTGAAAAGAGGCCAAACGCTGCAGCGGGAGCACAATTTCGAAAAATCGGCAATGCTGCAATCGAAAAAACACATGAAAACAACGTGTGGCATCACATGCGTAAAACAATATGCTCGGACAGGGTCCAGGTACAGACGAGAGCAGTGATGGTTTGGATCGGTTGTCTATGGGCAAAAATGGGCATGGAGGCGAGGGTGAAGGGCAGGAACCTGGGAAGAAGGTATGACTTCCTCCTAGTGTTCCTCCCTCCCCCCCCTACCTCCCCTACCGCCCCTCACATTCGTTTTTCTTCTCATCCTCCTCCTCCTCCTCTTCCTCCTCCTCCTCCTCCTCCTCCTTCTCCTCCTCCCCCTCCTCAACATCATCATCATCATCATCATCATCATCATCATCATCAACATCATCATCATCATCATCATCACCACCACCATCATCATCATCATCAGCATCATCATCATCATCATCATCATCATCATCATCGTCAGCATCATCCTCATCGGCATCATCATCATCGGCAGCATCATCATACCATCATCATCTCCATCATCATCATCATCCGCAGCAGCAGCATCATCAGGATCATCAGCATCAGCATCATCATCAGCATCGTCGTCAGCATCGTCATCGTCATGGTCACCAGCATCATCATCATCATCATCATCAGCATCATCATCAGCATCGTCATCAGCATCATCATCATCAGCAGCATCGGCATCATCATCAGCATCATCATCAGCAGCAACCTCATCATCATCAGCATCATCATCGTCACCGTCGTTTTTCGTCGTCGGCATCAGCATCATCATCAGCAGCAGGAGCAGCAGCCGCATCATCATCATCATCATCATCATCATCATCGTCGTCATCATCATCATCATCATCATCATCATCATCATCATCATCATCATCATCATCACCATCATCAGCATCATCATCAGCATCATCATCATCATCGGCATCATCCCCTATCATGGCCATCAACAACATCATCGTAATCATCAGCATCAGCATCATCAGCAATACGACCTTCAGCATTACTACACTATGCATCAGCATCGTCGTCAGCATCATCATCAGCATCAACATCAGCAACATCATCATCAGCAACAGCATCAGCATACACTTCATACTCATCACACTCATCATCAGCAGCAGCATCATCAGCATCACCACCATCACCATCAGATGCGTCATCCGTATCATTATCAGCATCATCCTCATCACCATCACTATCAGCATCATCACCGCCACCATCTCCATCATCAACATGATCACCTACACCACCAACCACTATCATCGTCATCACCATTACCATCACCGTTCGTTACTCATCAGCATCATTGTACTCACCATTGCCAGACTCAGCCAGACCATCAACATCATCATCAGCATCAGCAGAAGCAGCATCATCATCAACATCAGCATCCCCTATACTCGTCCGTGTTGCCATTGTCGACATCATCATCACTACCTAAATTAACAAAAAAAAACAACATCAGCAGCGACAACAACATCAACAACAACTTATCATCAGTATCACCAGTAACATTCTCAGTATCATCACCACCATCATGATCAGCATCACCATCGTCAGCATAAGCAGCAACCTCACTATCATAGTAAGATTAATCCTCGTCCTCATCTCCATCATCAACCTCATCAGCATCCTCATCATCATCAGCATCATCATCACCCTCCTCCTCCTCCTGCTTGCTCCTTATCTCCGCCCCTCCTCGTCATCATCCTCCTGCTCGGTCCTCCCCCTCCTCCTCCATCACAGCACCTCCTCCCCCATACACCATCATTCCTCCTCCTGCAGATTTATCATGCTTCCGCTCGCCCTTCCAATTGCCCCATCGTCCTCCCGTCCTCCTTCTCAGCCTCCTCCTCCTCCTCCTCCTCCTCCTCCTCCTCGTCCTCCCCCTCCTCCTTGATCCCTTTCTTCCCAGCACCCCGCACACTCGTCGCAGCAACGAAGCAACAGGAACGATGTCGAGCGCCGTGGCATGATTCGGACAAGCCTCGTGAAATGCAGTCCTGGAGGCGCTATTGTTTATATAGGGGTCGGCGGATGTGGCGTAAGCCTATATGATCATAAAAGAGGGCTGTAGTTCCAGTCGGCTGGTGCGCCTGCTTGGCCACGCCTACTAGTTTTCGGATGAGGGCAGTCTTCATTCCAGCAGGGTCAGGGTTCAACTGGCACGGCCAACCATGAGACACGCAGAGAACCAGGTCATCGGCATGCGGCTGGAAGAAAAACAAATCGGCATTGGTCACGTCCTGCTGACGTGGCAAAGGATGAGGCAGGCGCGATATGTGCTTCGCGTCGGCGAACTTTACGTACTTGAACACATCTTCGCAAGGCGGCGACTGGATAGGATGTCGCAGCTCTTCTTTGCCCATAATGTAAATACCCAGGCACTGCTGAGCCAAAACGGCTACGATTCATGACAATGATGGTGATGGTGATGGTGGTGGTGATGGTGATGGTGATGGCGATGGTGATAATGGTGATGGTGATGGTGGTGGTGGTGATGGTGATGGTGATGGTGATGGGGATGATGATGGTGATGATGGTGATGGTGGTGATGATGGTGGTGATGATGCTAGCGACTGCTAGGGTGCTTAGCCGCTGGCCCGGGCTCCGGTGAGACCCCACCATCTCTCTCTCTCTCGATGGCTTCAAGATCCCTGGTGATCTAGCCGATACTGCTCTACCTCGTGGACCAACCACGCAAGCGCCCGATCTAATGCAATCATTTCCGATTGGAACACCGTGACGTCAACTGGGATATACATACCTTCTGCATACCAAGGCTCATACACAATGCGGTGGAAGGGAGCGGGGGGCTCACGACTCAAGACGTAGCCATCTTACGCGGTGGCTTCCGACGGCCGCTCGCGCGGCAAATCGCGTGGACAAGAGGGCGCGTTCGCGCAGCACTACGCGGAGAGCTTGCGTGCGAATGCACACGACCCTCCTTCTGGCGGCCGCTCGGGCGGAATCCCACCAGCCTTCTGGGCATAGGTAGTGAAGGCGGACGGGGGGCTCACGAACGAGGATACAACGACCTCGTGCGGTGCCTTGAGCAGGCCGCTTGCGCGGCAAACCACATGGACAAGAAGGCGCTTGCGAGCGACCTTACCCAGACAGCGTGCGTGCAAGTGTCCGCGCAATCGAACCCAGTTGAATCCTATCAGCCCTCCCTCGGCGCAGTGTCAACGTGTGGTCAACACGTTTGCCAGCGTGGACACAATACCTACGCGATATCATCGATGAGGTGTGAGACATGTTGTGTGAGCTGTGAGGTGCAGGCTATGTGGCGCAGTATATGTGGTGAATGCATGTGGTGTGAGCTGCGCGGTGCAGGCTGCGTGGTGCAAAAAATTCAGCACGAGCTATGGTTTAGGCGACGTGGTGCAATGTGTGTGGTGCAATATGTATGGAGTGGCTTGTAGCGTACATGGTGCAGTCTAAGTGGTGCGTTCAACTCTGGTGCACAGCTAAATCATCAGCCCCTCTGCTCACGCAATCATCCCATCTTCATCTCACAGGCCGCGCTGGCGCGAGGGCACCCCAACACGGGTCGGTGACTCAGGCGGGCGCGGCATCCGTGTGACGTCGACAACGGCGGTGGCGATGATGACGATAACCACGTCAAGGCCAATGATGGCGCCGATGCTGGTGACGACGATGACGATGATGATGTCCACTTGCTGGTGATGAAGGGGATTGACTGATGACGGCTGCAGCTGTTGCCAATTGACAGTGACGGGAACGGCGGTGATGCGATGGCGCTGAGGAGTGTCATGGTGAGGAAGTGCGAGCGCGGAAATGCAAGAAAGCTGCCAGACTTGTTGCTGAAAAACACTTCGCTGGAGGAGGAGGAGGAGGAGGAGGAGGAGGGTGAGGAGGAGGAGGAGGAGGAGCTGTCTGATGTGAGCTCGACCTTGAGACGCTTCAAACCTATGAGTGTGCAAAGATTCCGACATGCCGGCGTGGCGGCGCGCGCGTGTTGCCCGCACGGCATTCTGTGATACGGCTTCGTGCGCTGGGCGCATGCTGGATCAACGCAGGTGCACCGCGTTGTGAGATGAGAGTGCGGGATCTGGAGGGGATTGCTAGAACTGTATGGACTCCGAGTGCTTTCGGCAATCGCGCGTGGGCAGAGAATCGGCCAGGTGTTTGATACAAAGGACCCAAGGGGGGCGATGTCATTATCTTGAAACGCTTGCAACACTAATGCGTGTGGTATGATGTTGACGTCTGTGCGCGCGTGCGGATTTTGTGATTTGTTTTGCCAGGGACTCTTGAAAATTTGCCTTTTGAGATAAGCGAGTGCGCGCGCATGGATCATTGGAAAAGATGAGGGGGCGATAACCGGCCCAATTGTAATGGTGTGCGGAAAAATAATGATGAGGCAGAAACATATGGAATATGCAAGGTCCCAGGGGGCCCCGCTAAGTCCGGGCTCGGGAGGGAGGTGGAGCCGACTCTTCTTTTTGCAAACAGAATCTACGCAGCGCTGTATGTGGTGCGAGCTATGTGGCATAAGCTACGTGTTGCAGTATATGTGGTGTGAACTACGTGACTACCTACCAGACCACCCCAACCCAACCCGAAGACCCGAATTTCGGGTTGGGGGGGGGGTAAGGGTTCCACATGTGTTTTCTCGATGTTTCCCGACCCCCCCCCACTGGAAATCGAGGGTAAATCTGAGCCTTCGGGTTGGGTTGGGGTGGTTTGGTGGGTGGTGACTACGAGGCGAAAGCTGTGTGGTGCAGTATGCGTGGTGTGAAAAATGTAGTGTACGACGCGCCCACGGGCCGCAACGTGGCGAAACCTCGGCGGACACAGAGATTCGGCACGCTCGCTTCCGGGGGAAAACTTCGTGCACACTTCGCGACGAGGCAAACTTCCCCTGCAACGATAGGCCAGGCCATCGCCCTCGGCCAACCCCCAATCCCCTGGCCAACGCTCCCGGCCAACCCCCTCTGGCCAGCCCTGATTAGGACAACTATTTCCGCAAGCTATCGTCGGAGGAAAAAACACTGGACCGGTTTTCACCTCGGGTCGTCCCAGACCCCGACATGAGCTCATCGAGGCCCGAACTTACGACAAAATAGCCATCTAGGCTTTTCCCAAATGCCCGAAACCCGAAACGGAACCCCCGAGGCCCGAATTGAGGGAAAAACTGTCGCCGCAACACTTTTGTTCTATGACAAGAAAGATCTGCGCTCCAGTTCGCCCCCTTCACCCTCGCACCAAATCCAATGATGAAGGGCGCGCTGCCTGCAGCTGGGCCTGGTCCGGCCTGTTAGCCTTCAGCGCCTCCAAGAGGAAGGAGGTGGTCTGCTGGAGCTTGCCTTGGTCCATGAAGATCTTCACCACCTG